GAGTGTTCTAACCTGGGACTCAGAGCAGTCACAGAACAGCTTGGCTTCAGCGTCCTGGTATGACCCTCCCACAGTGAGCGGGCAACAGACAGACTCAGGAAACAGCCTTGCCCAGGGAGGGGCTGAAAAGGGGCCCCTGAGGGGTTTCCTTTTTTTGTTGACTTCTATTTCTTGGCTGTTTTATTGTTACCGTTACCTAATGCCATAAACATCCTTCTAGTGTGTTACAGGATCTTTTGTTACACTTTTCTCTCCTCATTCCTACATCCCCCGGGTTAAAATTTCAAATTTTAATTCTTGCATTCTCCCTTTCCCAGCCCTTCATCTTCAAAAGTATAACAATAGTATAAGCTTTATTAATCTTTAGATAGTCAACTATAAAATTACTCTTAATTTTTTTCTAGCAGTAGAGGAGCTATAGTGGTTGCATTTAGTACTAAAGGGTGTATGGTAACATGTGGGTTGTCTTTATATCTCTACTATAATTGAGGCTTTCTATTATATAGTCAAAGGTGCCACCTAATTGCTTTGTCTTTTACGTAAATATCTAATTTGTCTTGGATGGTACCACTGTAGCTGATTTGCTTGACGTTGCAAGGGTCACATAATTATTGCCATGGATGGGTTTTCTGTGTGCCAATGCCCAGATTCCCTTTGTGAAATTGACAGTAGTGGGGCCCATTTCCAGAGAACTCAGTGTTGGGCCAATTATGCTGCATCTTCCTCTCCCAAATTAAGGGAGGTGGACAGATCTTAGGGAAGAGGTAAAGGACCACAGTTAGCTGTGCCCAAAGTGCACCCCTGAAAAGCAGACTAACGAAACAGACTCTTCACTAGCAACAAAGACTTTGCACTAGAAGCACCACAAATTCCAGCACCAAGCAAACAAGCAAAAACCATAGAAACATGAGGTGGCAAGTCAACAAAATGACCCCCAGACTCCCACCTGCCCCAAAGCCAATTCAAGGGGCATCACTGGGGAGAACAGCAAAGCCACACACCTGAAACTCCAAAGGATACCAGAGGAAGTTAGAAATCTGGTCAAAGAGATGCCCTATAGGATCAAAGATGATATTACTAAAGAGATAAACAGAATGACACAGGAAATTTCAGAAGTCACTAATTAAAAGCTACCTGTGCTAAGGAAAATGATACAAAACAGGAACGACCAGTTCAGCAAAGAATTAGAGTCCATGAAAAGGTTTCAATCACAAATCCAGATTAAAAATTGCAATGAACATATGGGTGACAGAAGCAACTAATGTGAGGACAGAATAGCAGAATTAGCAGACAGGGATGCTTTTAAAGACCAGCTTCTCAAAGACACCTTAAAACCAAAAGGAGTACACTATATTAACAGAGTCAAAGACAAAAACCATTATGATCATCTCAATAGATGCAGAAAAGGCATTCAACAAAATCCAACACCCATTCGTGATAAAAACACTACAGAAGCCCGCCTCCATCCCAGGCTCCTAGGGCAGTGAAGCTCACCTGGTCCCAGCACCCAGAAGGAAGCTCCCCCACCTCCATCCCAGGCTCCTAGGGCAGAGAAGCTCAGCCAGTCCCAGCACCCGGAAGGAAGCTCCCTGCCTCCATACCAGGCTCCTAGGGCAGTGAAGCTCAGCCAGTCCCAGAACCCAGAAGGAAGCTCCCCTGATGCCATCTCAAGCTCCTAGGGCAGAGAAGGTGAGCCACGCAGGTGCCAGAAGCACCCCCTCCC